GGGGAGCAGGCAGATTTTTCCTTGCTGCAGAGACAGAGAGCCCTTCTTTCCCATCCCTAGACTTTTATCAGAAGTCATAAGCTCAGTGCAGAAGCTCTGGGCAGATAAGAGCCTTAATTCAATTGTGTCAGGGCAATTATTTTTCCTGCTTAGACAATTCATTGTTGGATGCTAAGGGTCAGCAAGGGTTTGCAGCTGCTCAGGCGTGTCTGTGCTATCTTTTTGTCTTCAGGGTTACCACAATTGGAGCAAATGTTAGAACTCCTCTAGTGTCTCCAGGCCATTGCCCTCTGGGATGAATCTTTTTCCTTCCACTTGGCTCATCTGAGACAACTGTAAACTCCGCCTTCTTTTTATTAGCTAGGAGCAGACAAGGGCTAGAGCAATTTACTGATTAGATGGATTAACTCTTTAGCTAGGGAGAGTCCAACCCAGTGTGGGACATGCTGAGAATTCCGTATATAAATGTCTCAATAGCTGACACTCAAGGAAAACATTCCTCTTGGGAAGATATAAAGGACTCTCAGGCCAAATAATGCTGCACACATCTGTCTCCTGTCACAAGGCTTAGTACTATACTAAGTTGGTTACTGGTCCCTTGCTAATAATAACAAGGACAGTAATAATTGTTAACATTAGCAAGTCTTTGCCATGTGCCAGGCACTGTTCGAAGGGCTTTATATGTATGATCTGAATTTAATCTTCCCAGCAGCCCTGTTTGGCATGAAAAAAGTAGGATGCCCATTTCAGATATGAGGAAACTGAGGCACAGATGGGGTAAGTAACTTGTTCATACTCCTCTAGACTAGGAAGTACAGGAGACAGATCATAAGGACATGCTGTCTTCCTGTGTATATGGTATTAGTCCATTCTTGCATTGCTATAAAAAATAGCTGACACTGGGTAATTTACATAGAAAAGAGGTTTAATTGACTCAGGATTCTGCAGGCTATGCAGGAAGCATGATGCTGACATCTACTTGGCTTCTGGGGAGGCCTCAGGAAACTTACAATCATGGCAGAAGGTGAAGAGGAGCAGCACCTCACATGGGCAGAGAAGGAGCAAGGGCGGGGGAGGTGCCATGTACTTTTTTAAACAACAAGATCTCTTGAGAACTCATTCACTGTCATGAGAACAGCACCAAGGGGATGGTGCTAAACCATTCATGAGAAACTGCCCCATGATCACATCACCTCCCACTAGGCCCCATCTCCAACACTGGGTATTACAATGGAACATGATTTTTGGGTGGGGACACAAATCGAAACCATATCACATATGGAGTTTTGTTACAAGCGTTTGGGTTTCATCTTACCTCAAGGTTAGGTTTAACATCAGTAGATTGTAGATTCCCATCTTCCTTCACTGGGTCCAGAGCTACCTGGTCCAAACATAACTAACTTTGAATTCTTATGGAAGGATGCTTCACTGGATTGTGAAACCTAGAGGAGTTAGGGAGAGAAGAGTCTTTGGAGGGGATTTGCAGTGTTCTCAGAACAGTGGATGTGTTCTATCTCTGGCTTCTGGTACCCATGCATCGTTCTGCTGCTAACTGTGTCTGATCTTGCTTTCTCCCGCCCCCTGTCTGTGTGCCCTGGGAGAGACTTCACCTCTGACTTGGGGAGCATTTGATGTAGGTTTTAGCTGATCAGAGCATCATATTTTTAGACTATAATGATTGAGTCAAGGATGGGCCTAGGAGCCAAGGAGAACAGAGCAAGAGCCCCAGATGGGCATTCTGGCAAAGGAACTCTGTGCTCTTCCACTAGACTAGCATGTATGATGATGTCTAGTCTGGAGCTGTAGCAGCCATCTTGGCACCAGGAGGCAAGAGCTGACTGAGGATTTTGCCCAACCCAGGGGAAACAGAATCAGGAGAGGGAGAGGGAGAACCCCTCAAGTCAAGCTGTGTCTACCATGGATATTTGAGTCAGCTTACCCATGTTGCTTCATCAAGAAATTTTAATTGATACAGCGTGTCATGTATGAGTATAGTTTTATTAGCAGACATTTAGAAAATGGTTTGATGTGCAGACCTTTCCTTAGAAACCTCTTCTAACTCATCACTATGGTGAATGAAGCCCCATATTCTGGTTCACCATATACCAACCTGAAGTGCAAGGAGCAATGATTCCAGAGGAATTACTTCAATAGAAGGGGGGTTTCGTTTTACAGGAGGAGAATGAGGCACAGAGATATTATGTAAAGTATCCATAATTATAGTCAGGAATTGGAAGAACCAGATTCAAATGCAGGTACTCTGGGTCATGAATTCAAGCTTTTGATCACTATGCCTAATAAACACTTTTAACAAATCAAGACTATTTATTGAGGACTTACTATGGGTTCATTATGGAACACATCCATGAATAAGATGCCCAAAGTCCCTCCCTCATGATGTGAGCACTCAGGTGCTTATGCATGTGTGTGAAAAGATAGAAAATGAGGAATAAAAATAACAAGTAATGTTGGAAGGTGATGAGTCCTGTGAAAAAGAACAAATACACAAATGAAGGGAGACCAGGGCAGGGGCTTCCAGTTTTCAGTAGGGAGGTCAAAACGAGCCTCTTTGAGAAGAGGATTTGGAAGAGGTGAGCAACTTCCTTATAGGGATATCTGAGCAAAGAACATTTCAGATGCAGGAAATAGCCAGTGCAAGGCCCAGAGGCAGAAGGTGCCTGGTGTGCTCAAGGAGCAGCAGGGAAACCAGCAAAGTTGAAACCGGGTGTGCAGAACTCAATAAAAGATGAGGCTAGAGAAGTAATTCCGGATTGCAGAAAACACTGGCCCCTGCAGGATTCAGAGCAAAGGAGGGACATGGTCTGGCCGAGGCTGAGAAAGAGCCACCTGTCGATGGGTGTAGATGGGAAGTGTGGGCACAGGGAGACCCAGGTGAGAGATGATGAAAACTTGGTGCCAGCATTGGAGGTGGCAAGAGGTGGTCAGATTCTGAATATGTTTTAAAGAAGAAATAAAAGAATTTATAATAATTTGAGATGTGCAGCGGAAAGTGAGGCATCAAAGGTAACCATAAAGTGTTGGAGCAAACCTTGAGTAATTAAATACAACCCAATTCTTCTTTGAACTTCACTCCCGTGGCCAAGGAATCAAGAACCTCTTCTGTGCCTGGAGCTGCTTTTGATTCTGTTGTATCTGGAAGTGCCTCCTAGAATGAGTATGCGGCTTTTTGACAGAGTGTTCCTGTGTGAATCATTCCATTTCATTCCCATCACAATCCTGTGAGATTCTACTCCCATGTGACAACTAGGGAAACTGAGGTTCAACGAGATAGCTGTTCACCTGACCCAGCTCACACAGTTGATGAGCTGATGTTATCTATTCTGTTACGGTAGAAGAATATTCTGTTATTATGAAGTCACAGTAGAAGCAATTTCCTCCTGGTTGTAAAGGGGCTAATTGCACCCACCAGATCATTTTCATCCTCCATATAATCTATTGCTTTTAAGCTGTGAGCACTGAAAGAGATTGTTCTTCTGAAGTCTTATCTGTAAATACGCCATTTTCATTTGCTGTAGATTTCTACAACATCACGCCTTAAGATCTAAAATTTTTGTCCTTGCTTTTGCACAAAAATGTACCTATATTATGTTCTAGATTAAAACACCTAGCTTGGGGTTCGTTATCATTTTTTTGTTTGTTTGTGGCGACTGCTCTGTGACACACTTGTGTTTTCCTACTTTGATTTAAGTAACTTGATAAGCAAGACGTCGTTCCATCGCAAAGCTGAGGAATGGGTGGTTGGCAGAGATCATTTTAAAATCCAGAAACAATGTCGAAGTTACTTGGGAATGTACGTAATAGATCAAACCTGCTGTTGTCTGGAATTTCCACCCATATGTCGATGTCACTACTTGGGCAGCCAGAGGCTCTTCCTGCTGGAACAATTCCATAGTTGTGTTTTCATTGCCATTTTCCTGCAGAAGCTGAAGCTCCACTTTTTTGCATTCTCCCTGCTCTTTGAAGGGATAAGATGAAACACACACAGAGGCATGACTTTTTTTTTTTTTTTTAGGCTGCATTCATGCTGTGTCGAGGTCACAGATTTTAACCAAGTCAAGCAATGTGAATGTTGAGGCTTCAGGGAGATGGTTGTCTCCATCAGCTGTCAGCCTTGTTGATGTGTGTGCACCTTCTGCTGCCTCTTCCATGGGACCGTTCCCTCCCAGTGTCTCTGTGACTCCAGTTTCCTCATTGTAAATGACTGCGTTGTTGTAGAGAAGAGAATCACCCAAGCAGGTGTGTAGTCAAATGAATTTTTAAGCGAGGATTCCAAATACAGAGAAGTGGAGAGGCAACAGGACAGGCAAGGATGGAAAAGTGAAGGAGGTTTCTGCTTCTCCTTATGAAATAAATAGGCAATTCCAATAGAGTAATCCATTTCATGCCTGGATGGCTACAATCACCTGTAAATCGGACTGCAGCCTCCCTTCAAGCTCTCCTTCTTCCTGGCTATTCTATTTCTCTCAGATCAATCTTCCCAAATCATTTCTGAGGTACCCTTTCTTACTGAAAGCCCCCGGTGGGCCTGTATTATCTATGAGTCAAACACACACCCCTGGTCCTGGTGATCAAGGACAGAAAGTGATGGAATCCAACCTAAACCCATCCACGCTGGCACCCTCTCCTGGGGCCTTTTCTTCACCAGCTCCCAAGTGGCCCAGGATTCTTTCTTCATCTCTCAGCGATGACCACTGTGTGGCTGGTCCCTCGGAGGCTCCTTCCCAATAGGAACCCCCACCCATCCATTCCGATCCAGTCAAGGCCAGGGTCTGCCTTTCTATGACGACTTCTCCCTCCCCATTTCCAAGATGCTTTCCACAGGTCACTGCTCCTTTCTTATATTATAAATGGCCTGACGTAACTATTTCTGTAGTGAAAAAGCACCGTTTCAGACATTTGGTGCCACCTGTTTTGCTTTGCCTCATACTGTTTCCTTGGGGCAAGTCCGCAAATAGTGAAATGGCCTTGTGAAGACTGAGCAAAACATGGGACACTTCATGAACTGCTGTGCCATTCTTACACGGGTCTGTGCTAATCTTCTCTGTATCATTCTAATTTTCATATGTGCTGCTGAAGCAAGCCCCAAGGTGATGACCTCACCACACCACCTGTTCCTTTCTAGCTGCCTGCACTCTCTAGCCTCACTCAGCCTGGCACCGAATCAGGCACTGTTTTATCTGGGTTCAGTCTCATCTTCTTCATCACAGTCCAGGGTTGTTAAAGTCGGGGATCTTGCTTTCAGCCACGTTGTTAGTATCACATCGGTTATCACCATCCTAGGCACAGAATAGACACTGGTGAAACCCATATTTTGAAACTCACCAGAAAAAGAAGGAAAGATATTTTTTTATTTATCGCTTAAGCTCTCTGGCAAAGGACATCTTGGTATATTCACTGCTGGTATCTCTCAGTTCCTGAAGTCCCCTCAAACCCCTCAAGGGTGCCGGCAACATTTGGTGTGGGCAGTGCCTCTGGGGCCCTCTTGTGCAATAGTCACGTGTTCATTCATTCATTCTTCCATTCAGAAAGTGCACACAGAACATCTGCTCTGTTCTTGACGTGAAGATATAGTTCAGACAGAGACAAATCCAGCTTTCACGTGAAGCTTGTAGTCAGTCTTCTGTGGTTCGTGGGGAGCATTGGGGAGGGGAGAAAGGGAGACATAGCAAACAAGCTTCCCATTGAGACACAGCTCTGAGGGAAATGAAACACAGGTTGCAGCAGCGAGTGGATAGGGTGATGGAGTGGCCGTGGTGAGACCACAATAACAAGATTGGATCATCCAGGGGCATGTGAGGCTAGTCTCCTGGGAAGAGGGAACAGCAGGTGCCAAAGCTGGAAGGCAGGTCTTCTCTATCTCAGTGCTATTGACATTTGGGACTGGATAACCTTCTCCTGTAGAGAGTCATCCTGTGCATCCTGTGTTTGGCAGCTTCTCTGGCCTCTAGCCACTGGATGCCAGGAGCACCATCCTCCCCCTGCCCCATCCCGATTGTGACTATGTTGTTTCTGACTTAGTAAAAATGTGTGGTAATGGGGCTCGTGGGTCAATGGTGGCTCACAGAAAGATATGTCCATGTCCTATCCAAGCATTCCCAGGAAGCTGTGACAATGACCTTGATTGGAAAAGGGTCTTTGTAGAGGTAATTAAATGGATCTCAAGGTGAAATCACTCCGGATCGTCCAGGTGGGCTTAAATCCAGTGATAAGTGGAGACAAAGTGGGGGAAGACAAAGATACAGAAGAGAGGGCAATGTGAAGACAGAGGCAGAGAGCTGGGGACTCTGCCACAGGGAAAGCCAAAGCCGCCAGAAGCTGGGAGGGGCAAGGGACCATGGTTCCCTGGAGCCCTTGGGTGGAGCAGGGCCCTGCTGAAGCCTTACTCCAGCCTTCAGAACTGGGAGATAGTAAATTTCTGTTAAGTCACCCAGTTTGGGGTGACTTCTTACAGCAGCCACAGGAAAGGAATGCAGGGACAAAAGCATCCATGGAAGAACCATAACCCTCAGGCAATAAAGATCAGGGCAGGTTTGGGGAGCCATTACCTTCAGGCAACAAAGATCAGGGCAGGATTGAGGAGCCATGGGAAGGCAGGTGTAACTGCAGCCTAGGTCAGTGGAGTGAGGTGTTGGGGGTGCAGGGGTGGTGTGGGGGGTGCAGGGGTGGTGTGGGGGGTGGGGTGGGGTTTTGGGATTGGCAGGTCCTAGCTGGCCTTAGAAGCACCAGTAAGGAATTTAGGTTTTGTGGTAAGTGGGAGGTATATTAAGCATTGAGGCTTTCAGGCCAGTCAGTGACATGATCTGGCTATGTACGCAGCAGATTTTGCTCACTCTGTGGACTGTGTGTGTGGTGGAGCCAAGTGAAGCTGGGATTTTTTAGGATGACGTCCCAGCCGAAAAGGGCAGGAATTTCAGCCATGTGAGGCACGAAGACCTTTCTGTCATTTTGGGGTTCTCTACGTAAGGCAGCCAAAGATAGATGGTTCCTTCTCTAGAATTCCAACAGGAAAAGGCCTGCTATCTGGTATTCCATGTATCATAAAGGCAGAAGCCCTCCCCCTCCACCCCCTGCCTAGATGCTGAATTAATTGATTACATTTTAAGATGAAGAAACTGGCACTTTGGGAGGCCGAGGGGGGGCGGATCACGAGGTCAAGAGATCGAAACCATCCTGGCCAACATGGTGAAACCCCGTCTCTACCAAAAAAAATACAAAAATTAGCTGGGTGTGGTGGTGCTCGCCGGCAGTCCTAGCTGCTCAGCAGGCTGAGGCAGGAGAATTGCTTGAAGCCAGGAGGCGGAGATTGCTCTGAGCTGAGATTGTGCCACTGCACTCCAGCCTGGCACCTGGAGACCGGGCGAGACTCTGTCTCAAACCAAATAAACAAAAACAAAGATGAAGAAACTGAAGTCTAAAAGGAGAAGGTGGCACCTCAGGTCCGCAGACACAGAAGCGTTCATTGGCAGAGCGGGAATCTTAGCCCAAGCTCCGGATGTTCTTTCCTGATGTGCTTCCTTTACTTGTACAGAGCGGTGCATTTTAGCAAAGGCCTCATTTGAATTTTACAATGACCTAAGGAGAGACGTGGCACAAATATCACTTTTATTTTACAAATGCAGAAATATAATAAAAATTACAAAATAAAATAAGGAAAATCAGAGAGGTGAAGTGATTTTTCCAATGTCACACAGCTTTGAAGGGGTGGGGTTGCCAAACAACCTTGGTGTTCTAACCCTTGGTCTGATGTTCCTCCCTGGACTGCTCATGCTGGATCTCGGGAGAATGATGATGCAATTACCTAAATCTTACAAGTCTCCCAGCATCAGCCAGGCACGGTGGCTCACACCTGTAATCCCAGAACTTTAGGAGTCTGAGGTGAGCAGATCACTTAAGATCAGGCATTCCAGACAAGCCTGGCCAACATGGTGAAACCTCATCTTTAGTAAAAATACAAAAATTAGCCAGGTGTGGTGGCGGGCATCTGTGATCTCGGCTACTCAGGAGGCTAAGACAGGAGAATCGTTTTAACACCGGTGTCAGAGGTTGCAGTGAGACAAGATCTACACACTGCACCCCAGCCTGGGTGACAGAGTGAGCCTCCATCTCAGAAAAAACAAAAGTCTCCCACCATCTCTTTGCCTCCAGTGACCTCTTTCCGACTGAAAAGTTTTCAATTTATGATTATACGTTGTTCCTTGCCCTTTAGGCAAGTTCAATTTCATTGTCCAGACACAAAAACTATTTCACAGTGAGAACTGCACACACAAAAAAGAAATGAGGAAGCGGTTTAACATAGGATATGCCAGATGTGAAAACAGTTTACCAGTAACAGGGGGTCCGTGAAGCCTATATATGTTTTCCAATAGCTGAGAAAAAGTATCCCCCTTTACTGATTTTTTTTTGTCTGAGTGTGTGTTTTGTACAATATAAAGGTTCACATGACACTGGAGCCGTGGTAAAGCCAGGAGGCCAGGAAATCTGACGCTAATGGTGACGGGATATTTCCCACTCACTCAGGGGAAATGAGCAGTGCCTGCTATGCCTTCATCCATATCCATACGAGCGCAGAAGTGCTCCGGGGTCTTCTCACCTTCCCCCATATCCTTGACAAGAGATTACGCTCTAAATAAATCTAAAATGCTTTCACTTGACTCAGGAGCCTTGCTCCGAAAGAATGCATGGAGTTAAGAGAGAAAGGCTGTTTTTGTGTACGTATCCAGTCTGCAAATTTGATCACTAGACATATATGAAGCCCACACTGTGTGCCAGGCTCTGAGTAGATGCTAGGGACACCCTGGCAGAGAGGAGACTTGGGCACTTGGCTCATGGGTTGGGCTACCACCTGTTTATCTTGGTAGCCTACTGCTCGGAACAGAGTCCAGCACACAGGGACGCACATGGTACCTAATCTGTGGAGCTGAATTTGTTGAAGTTGCCTTCACAGTTGAATGGGTCTTTGTGCCTGGCTAGGAAGGCCTGAAAGCAGCTGTGTAGTTGGAGGCCAGATAATAGAGAAGCCAGACACATTTTTGGAGTTGTTCTGTCTGGAGTGAGGAGAGATTTGAGGAAGGGTGCGAATGTTGTGAGCTCCCTGGGTCCGTTCATGATGCTGGGAGGACCCAGTGGTCCTGGCAACACTGAAGGGGATTTGAGGGCAGGAGGGAGCCAGAGTCCAAGTTTGCGAGACGATGCCAAGCATCAAATCTGAAGATCCCGGGAGGCTGAGTGGGATTGCAGCAGAAAAGTCTAAGGTGAGGCAGAGCTCAGTGAAGGGAGCCAGCAGGGCAGTGAGCTCTGTGCTCAGTCTGTGAACAGCAGGAGGGCAAGAGCTTCCTTTTTGTGTGCTGAGGGGCAGAGCAGTTTCTCAGGGTATAAGGTGGTACTGCGCCATTTTGTGCTTTGGTGCACAATGCCGCCAAGGGGTGCTGGTGCCTGAGGCTGGCAGGAAGATCTCTCCGTGGTCAGCCAAGGGGGAAGATCTGCTCAATGAGTTCTCCAGCCTCTTGGCTTCAGGACAGGAGGAAGGAGAAGAGGGAGTCAGGCTGTGCTAGTTTGTTAGGACTGCTATAGTGATCCTACAGACTGGGTGGCTCCTTTCTTCCCTCCTTCCTTCCTTCCTTCCTTCCTTCCTTCCTTCCTTCCTTCCTTCCTTCCTTCCTTCCTTCCTCTTTCCCTCCCTCTGTCCCTCCCTTCCTCCCTCCTTCTTCTCTTTCTCATTCTTTCTCTTTCTTTCTTTCCTTTCTCTCCTTTCTTTCCCTTCCTTCCCTCCCTTTCCTTCCCTCCCTCCCTCCCTCTCTCCCTCCCTTTCTTCCTTCTTTTTTCTCTTTCCTTTCCTTCCCTTTCTTCTTTCTTTCCTTTCTTTCCTTTGTTTCCTTCCTTCCCTTCCTTCCCTCCTTTTCCCTCCCTCCCTTCCTTTCTTCCATCTCACTCTCACCCAGGCTGGAGTGCAGAAGCCCAATCTCTGCTCACCGCAACCTCCACATCCCAGGTTCAAGGGATTCTCCTGCCTCAACCTCCTGAGTAGCTGGGACTAGCATCATCACGCCCAGCTAATTTTTTTGTATTTTTAGTAGAGGCGGAG